TTACTGCAGGTAACAATCAACTCCCAGCAGTTACTGCAGGAAACACTCGCCTCCCAGCAGTTACTGTAGGTAACACTCACCTCCCAGCAGTTACTGCAGGTAACACTCACCTCCCAGCAATTACTGCAGGTAACACTCACCTCCCAGCAATTACTGCAGGTAACACTCACCTCCCAGCAATTACTGCAGGTAACACTCACCTCCCAGCAGTTACTGCAGGTAACACTCACCTCCCAGCAATTACTGCAGGTAACACTCACCTCCCAGCAATTACTGCAGGTAACACTCACCTCCCAGCAATTACTGCAGGTAACACTCACCTCCCAGCAGTTACTGCAGGTAACACTCACATCCCAGCAGTTACTGCATTTAACACTCACTTCCCAGCAGTTACTGCAGGTACCACTCACCTCCCAGCAGTTACTGCAGGTAACACATCCCGGCAGTTACTGCAAGTAACACTCACCTCCCAGCAGTTACTGCAGGTAACACTCACCTCCCAGCAGTTACTGCAGGTAACACTCACCTCCCAGCGGTTACTGCAGGTAACACTCACCTCCCACCAGTTACTGCAGGTAACACTCACCTCCCACCAGTTACTGCAGGTAACACTCACCTCCCACCAGTTACTCCAGGTAACACCTCCCAGCAGTTACTGCAGGTAACACCTCCCAGCAGTTACTGCAGGTAACACCTCCCAGCAGTTACTGCAGGTAACACCTCCCAGCAGTTACTGCAGGTAACACCTCCCAGCAGTTACTGCAGGTAACACCTCCCAGCAGTTACTGCAGGTAACACCTCCCAGCAGTTACTGCAGGTAACACCTCCCAGCAGTTACTGCAGGTAACACTCCCAGCAGTTACTGCAGGTAACACCTCCCAGCAGTTTACTAGCAGGTAACACCTCCCACCAGTTACTGCAGGTAACACCTCCCAGCAGTTACTGCAGGTAACACCTCCCAGCAGTTACTGCAGGTAACCTCCCAGCAGTTACTGCAGGTAACACCTCCCACCAGTTACTGCAGGTAACACCTCCCAGCAGTTACTGCAGGTAACACCTCCCAGCAGTTACTGCAGGTAACACCTCCCAGCAGTTACTGCAGGTAACATCTCCCAGCAGTTACTGCAGGTAACACTCACATTCTTCTATATAAAAACAGTGTTAGGCTTAATGCTTATCTAGTCAAGACTGTTATTACTCCCACCATTTATCTGTGACACTAACGTCTAGGATACTATAAACACGAATAAATCCTTTGTCAAACAAGTGGAATTGACTAAAAAACGTATATTCTAATGATATTTTTGTGTATTTTAACACACTGGACCTCTCCCACCGAGGAAAGGTGGCCCAAAATGAGGAAATTCATTCATCATGATCACCTGTCTTGTCAGGTACGCAGACATCACAGATCTTGTAACCCTCTATACTGCAACATTCCCACCTCTCCTGTAGAGTGCAGGCACTGTACTTTACACCTTGGGGATTCAATTTTGACTGCCCGGTTTCCTGAATCACTTCTCAAATGTTACTTTGTTGACGTTCACTCCGCTCTAAAATTGCTTACACACTTTTTTCCACCCAAGTTTTATTCACCCTCTTCGTTATTGTATTCTGTTCCATCCTCTCTAATTCCTCAAACCACATCAACAGCCTCCTCATCTCTCTGAAATATGTCCCTGGTAACCCACACTGGTTGTCTAATTTTTATGCTCCAGATTCTCTGCATAATATTCATCCCATATACCTCTCTCAGACACAAATTCTCCATTTTCTGTAACGTTCTCTTCTCTGTAACGTCACTTAAATATAAAAGTTGTTGGTATAACCATACTATGGTATATTCTCCCAAATATCAGCATGGACTCACTTCATCCTTAGTCCAGTATAATATATAATCTTCCACTGCCGAGGTTTCTTGTTTACTTTTGTCTCTTTTTGTTTTTTGAATGTTCACTTTTAATTTTCTTCATGAGTTTACCTTCCCATATTCCTCGACCAGCCTTTGCAACTTCTCTTCAGATCTCCCATCAGAACTGTCATTGCCAAAAAGCAACTGAAAACTCCCACTTTGTATCAGATTCATTATCTTTTAATCCCCCACCTCTTCCCCTCACACTTGTATTCATTTCTATGCTTACTTAAGCTAAACAACACTGGTGGCGTCACACATCATTATCTAAGATCTTCTGGTGTTAGGTAATGCTTCTCGGTCCTACATTCCTTATTCAGTCTCGCTATCAGCATAAAAATTAATTATTTATTTAAGTAACGTACCACTTAATCCGTACATCTGCAACATTCCACAGCGTATCCTCATCCACACTATCCCATGCATATTCTAAATCCATAAATGCGACATACATTACCTTGCCCATATCTATGACTTATTCACTTGTATGCTTCAACGTAAACAATTGGTGTACACATCCTCAACCCGTCCTAAATCCTTCTTGTTCTTCTGCAATCCTCATTTTAGTTTTACTTATTACTCTCCAAAGGTTAGGAATAAATGTGGCTAAAATCAAAATTCACTGAATACATTAATATAGTAACATAATAACTAAGTAGAGATCAGTAGAAGATAGCTCCGAGAACAACCTCTCACTTGTGTATCCAGACAGCCACTAACTTGCCACAAGTACACTCCCTCTCTTAAACTACAGCACCTAGTCAACCACACACTTCTTTTCTTCAGCCAGAGCACCTAGTCAACCACACACTTTTTTCTTCAGCCAGAGCACCTATCAACCACACACTTCTTTTCTTCAGCCAGAGCACCTAGTCAACCACACACTTCTTTTCTTCAGCCAGAGCACCAAGTCAACCACACACTTCTTTTCTTCAGCCAGAGCACCAAGTCAACCACACACTTCTTTTCTTCAGCCAGAGCACCTAGTCAACCACACACTTCTTTTCTTCAGCCAGAGCACCTAGTCAACCACACACTTCTTTTTTTCAACCAGAGCACCAAGTCAACCACACACTTCTTTTCTTCAGCCAGAGCACCTAGTCAACCACACACTTCTTTTCTTCAGCCAGAGCACCAAGTCAACCACACACTTCTTTTCTTCAGCCAGAGCACCTAGTCAACCACACACTTTTTTTCTTCAGCCAGAGCACCAAGTCAACCACACACTTCTTTTCTCAGCCAGAGCACCTAGTCAACCACACACTTCTTTTCTTCAGCCAGAGCACCTAGTCAACCACACACTTCTTTTCTTCAGCCAGAGCACCTAGTCAACCACACACTTCTTTTTTCAGCCAGAGCACCAAGTCAACCACACACTTCTTTTCTTCAGCCAAAAGCACCTAGTCAACCACAACACTTCTTTTCTTTCAGCCAGAGCACCTAGTCAACCACCCCACTTCTTTTCTTCAGCCAGAGCACCTAGTCAACCACACACTTCTTTTCTTCAGCCAGAGCACCAAGTCAACCACACACTTCTTTTCTTCAGCCAGAGCACCTAGTCAACCACACACTTCTTTTCTTCAGCCAGAGCACCTAGTCAACCACACACTTCTTTTCTTCAACCAGAGCACCAAGTCAACCACACACTTCTTTTCTTCAGCCAGAGCACCTAGTCAGCCACACACTTCTTTAAGCCGGAATTCTTTCTTCAGCCAGAGCACCTAGTCAACCACACACTTCTTTTCTTCAGCCAGAGCACCTAGTCAACCACACACTTCTTTTCTTCAGCCAGAGCACCTAGTCAACCACACACTTCTTTTTCTTCAGCCAGAGCACCTAGTCAACCACACACTTCTTTTCTTCAGCCAGAGAAACCAAGTCAACCACACACTTCTTTTCTTCAGCCAGAGCACCTAGTCAACCACACACTTCTTTTTCTTCAGCCAGAGCACCTAGTCAACCACACACTTCTTTTCTTCAGCCAGAGCACCAAGTCAACCACACACTTCTTTTCTTCAGCCAGAGCACCTAGTCAACCACACACTTTCTTTTCTTCAGCCAGAGCACCTAGTCAACCACACACTTTCTTTTTCTTCAGCCAGAGCACCTAGTCAACCACACACTTCTTTTCTTCAACCAGAGAAACCAAGTCAACCACACACTTCTTTCTTCAGCCAGAGCACCTAGTCAACCACACACTTCTTTTCTTCAGCCAGAGCACCTAGTCAGCCACACACTTCTTTTCTTCAGCCAGAGCACCTAGTCAACCACACACTTCTTTTCTTCAACCAGAGCACCTAGTCAACCACACACTTCTTTTCTTCAACCAGAGCACCAAGTCAACCACACACTTCTTTTCTTCAGCCAGAGCACCTAGTCAGCCACACACTCCCTCTCTTAAACCAGAGCACCTGGTCAACCAGGTGTACCAGGCCCGGTGGCCTGGTGGCTAAAGCTCCCGCTTCACACACGGAGGGCCCGGGTTCGATTCCCGGCGAGTGGAAACATTTCGACACGTTTCCTTACACCTGTTGTCCTGTTCACCTAGCAGCAAATAGGTACCTGGGTGTTAGTCGACTGGTATGGGTCGCATCCTGGGGGACAAGATTAAGGACCCCAATGGAAATAAGTTAAACAGTCCTCACTGACGCACTGACTTTCTTAGGTTATCCTGGGTGGCTAACCCTCCGGGGTTAAAAATCCGAAAGAAATGTTATCTTATCTTAAGCACACAAACTCAGAGACCTCCTGGGCCAAGAGTTGTCAGTCACACTTACATTATTTCTCTCCTGTACAAAGTTTTAGGAAAGGCCTCAAGTTGATATCAGTTACTTTAAACTTAACAAACAATTAATGAACGAGACACTTGCACAATACTTGGGTAACTTTACTGCAGACTTTTTTTCAATAAAGATACCACGGTTTTTGTGGGACACAAGTCTTATTCAATAACCTGATGAACTGTATACCGTTAACATGTCAAACTAATAGTTGTCTGTATTATAGGAAAATAGGAGTGTTATCAGTATGTTAAAGGGCACGTAAGTTACTTACGTGCCCCTTAACAGCTGGATGTGTACGTCCTCAGATCTACATCGAGTCAGTGTTCTCGACGGTGGGTGGAGGTGGAGACATGGACGTAGCGACAGCGCCTCGCACGGACAGTGAACCTCTCCTGCTGCTCTACTCCTCCGTCAGGCACCGGCACCAGGCACGTCATGAGCTCAACGTAATGATCTCGCACGAGTACGAGGACTACCAAGATCACAAGGTGAGGAGATGGATGTTCTTTGCTGTACGTGAATGATAGTTGCCATGAGGTGAGTGATGATAAACCAGAGTTCTTTACAGGTGTTTTTTTGTCCCCTTCAGCCGCCTCTTAACTACGAACACCGATCTGACGTTAACTCTCTCATATCCAATGAAGAGATTTTTTTTTTCAAGGTTTCTAGTCATAAACTCTATGTTCGTTTTTCCAATCTTACAATTTTCGTGTCAAATCGTCTACATCCAGCCGCTGTCAGGACTTTTATATTATGGTCAACAACGCTGAAAAAAAAAACTTAATACTTTCAGCTTACAATAGTTGTGATGAATTCAATAACACCTAAATTCAGCAGAGAATATTAGCAGGTTGACTAGTTTATACACCTCTAACATCTTGTCTCTTGTTGGTTGGTAATAGATGTGTCGGTACTTGTGTATCATGGCATCACCACCACTTACATCACACAGACGCTTTTGTTAAGTGCGGCTTTAATATGTGTGTAAATGGGAGAACAAATACCAACTATAAAATGTTAAGAACTCTAATGAATCATTAATAATGTCTGAGGTTAACAATCAATAATGATTCTACAATCATTACATTTATATATATATATATATATATATATATATAATATATATATATATATAAATATATATATATATATATATATATGAATATATATATATATATATAATATATATAAAATATATATATATTATATATATATATTTTATATATAATATATATATATATAATATATTCAACAAGTCGGCCATCTCCCACCAAGGCAGGGTACCCAACAAAGAAAGAAAATCCCCAAAAAGAAAATACTTTCATCATCATTCAACACTTTCATCACACACACATTATCACTGTTTTTGCAGAGGTGCTCAGAATACAACAGTTTAGAAGCATACACATATAAAGATACACAACATATCCCTCCAAACTGTCAATATCCCAAACCCCTCCTTTAAAGTGCAGGCATTGTACTTCCCATTTCCAGGACTTTAGTCCGACTATATGAAAATAACCAGTTTCCCTGAATCCCTTCACTAAATATTACCCTGCTCACAATCCAACAGCTCGTCAGGTCCCAAGTACCATTCGTCTCCATTCACTCCTATCTAACACGCTCACGCACGCTTGCTGGAAGTCCAAGCCCCTCGCCCACAAAACCTCCTTTACCCCCTCTCTCCAACCCTTTCGAGGACGCCTTCCTTTCCCTATAGATTTATATGCTTTTCATGTCATTCTACTTTGATCCATTCTCTCTAAATGACCAAACCACCTCAATAACCCCTCTTCTGCCCTCTGACTAATACTTTTATTAACTCCACACCTTTTCCTAAATTCCACACTCCGAATTTTCTGCATAAATATTTTACACCACACATTACCCTTAGACAGGACATCTCCACTGCCTCCAACCGTCTCCCGCTGCTGCATTTACCACCCAAGCTTCACAAACCCATATAAGATGTTGGTACTACTATACTTTCAACACATTCCCTTCTTTGCCTCCATAATAACGTTTTTTGACTCCACATATACCTCAACGCAACACTCACCTTTTTCCCTCATCAATTCTATGATTAACCTCATCCTTCATAAATCATCCGCCGACACGTTTAACTCCCAAGTAACTGAAACCATTCGCTTCTTCCATACTCCTCCTCCCCAATTTGATATCCAATTTTTTTTTTATCTAAATCATCTGATACCCTCATCACCTACTCTTTCTATGTTCACTTTCAACTTTCTACCTTTACACACATTCCCAAACTCATCCACTAACCTTGCAATTTTTCTTTTGAATCTCCCATAAGCACAGTATCATCAGCAAAAAGTAACTGTGTCAATTCCCATTTTGAATTTGATTCCCCATAATTTATCCCCCCCCCTCTCCCGAACACCCTAGCATTTACTTTCCCTTTTTCAAACCCCACTATAAATATATTAAACAGCCATGTGACATTACACATCCCTGTCTAAGACCTACTTTTTCCAGGAAGTAATCTCCCTCTCTTCTACACACCCTAACCTGAGCCCCACTATCCTCATAAAAACTCTTTACAACATTTAGTAACTTACCACCTATTCCATATACTTTCAACAAACTGCCACATTACCCCTCTATCCACTCTATCATATGCCTTTTCTAAATCCATAAATGCAATAAAAATTCCCTACCTTTATCTAAATACTGTTCCATAAATGCTTCAATGTAAACCTTGATCTACACATCCCCTACCCACTCTGAAACCTCCTTGCTCATCCGCCATCCTATATTCGTCCTACCTCTAATTTTTTCAATTATAACTCAAACCGTATACTTTTCCTGGTAACTCAGTAAACTTATTCCTCTATAAATTTTACAATCTCTTTTGTCCCCCTTTCCCTTTAAAATAAAGGGACTATACAGCTCTCCGCCAATCCCTAGGTACCTTCCTCTCTTTCATACATTTATTAAACAAAAGTACCAACCACTCCAACACTATATCCCCCCCTGCTTTCAACATTTCTGTCATGATCCCATCAGTTCCAGCTGCTTTACCCCCCTTTTATTCTACGTAATGCCTCACGTACCTCCCCCACACTTACATTCTGCTCTTCTTCACTCCTAAAAGATGGTATAAACCTCCCCGACAAGTGTATAAATTACCGCCTCCCTTTCTTTCCCTTTAAAATTTAAAAAATTCCTCAAAATATTCTCTCCATCTACCTAATACCCCCATCCCCCATCTACTAACTCCACTACTCCCGTTTTTAAACTGACAAGTCCATTTCTTTCCCTAGGCTTTCTTAACTTGTTTAACTCACCCCAAAATTTTTCTTATTTTCATTAAAATTTCTTGACAGTGCCTCTCCCACTCTATCATCTGCTCTCCTTTTGCACTCTCTCACCACTCTCTTCACCTTTCTTTTACCTCCATATACGCTGCTCTTCTTATAACACTTCTGCTTTGTAAAAACCTCTCATAAGCTACCTTTTTCTCTTTTAAATCACACCCTTTACTTCATAAATTCCACAATCACTCCCTCTTTCCTCCTGCCCCCACCCCCTAAAACCCACAAACTTCTGCCCCACATTCTAATACTGCATTTTTAAAACTATTCCAACCCTCTTCAAAAACCCCCCCCCCCCACTAATCTTTTGCACTAGCCCACCTTTCTGCCAATAGTAGTTTTATATCACCCCCGAACTTCCCTCCTCCCTTAGTTTAAAACACTTTCACCTCCCTCTTACTTGTTGTTGCCACCTTCCTCTTTTCCCATCTACCCTCTTACTCTAACTGAAGCTACAACTAAATAATGATCCGATATATCAGTTGCCCCTCTATAAACATGTACATCCTGGAGCCTACCCATCAACCCCTTTTATCCACCAATACATAATCTAACAAACTACTTTCATTACGTGCTAATCATACCTTGTATATTTATTTATCCTCTTTTTCATAAAATATGTATTACTTATTACCAAATCTCTTTCTACACATAGCTCAATTAAAGGCTCCCCATTTACTTTTAAATCCCCTGGAAACCCCAAATTTACCTACTACTCCCTCCACAACATTTTACTCATTTTAGCATTGAAATCCCCAACCACCATTCCCTCTCAACACAAAAAATCCCCACGCATACACGCACTATAACCCACTTTTCACATCCAATCTTTATTTTACTCCACATAATCCTTGAATTAATACATTTAAGTCCCTCTTTTCCTGCCATACTTATCCTTCAACATTTTTGCTACTCCTTCTTTAGCCTAACTTTATTTGAAACCCCTGACCTAATCCCATTTATTCCTCTCCATTGAAACTCTCCCACCCCCCTTTAGCTTTTTTCACTTAAAAGCCAGGACATCCAGCTTCTTCTCATTTATAACATCCACAATCATCTCTTTCTTATCATTTGCACAACATCCAAACACATTCAGACTTCCCACTTTGACAATTTTCTTCTTCTTTTTCTTTTTAGCAATCTTTACAGAAAAGGGGTAACTAGCCCATTGTTCCTGGCATTTTAGTTGACTTTTACAACACGTATGGCTTACGGAGGAAAGATTCTTATTCCACTTCCCCATGGATATAAAAGGAAAAGTAATAAGACCAAGAACTATTAAGATAAAATCAAAGAAAACTCAGATGAGTGTGTATAAATAACCGTGTACATGTATGTGTAGTGGACTAAGTGTAATGTAGAAGTAGCAAGACGTACCTTAATCTTGCATATTTATGAGACAGACAAAAGACACCAGCAATCCTACCATCATGTAAAACAATTACAGACTTTCGTTTTACACTCACTTGGCAGGACGGTAGTACCTCCCTGGGTGGTTGCTGTCTACCAACCTACTATGTATATATATATATAAATATATATATATAATATATATATATAAATATATTATATATATATATATATAAATATATATATTATATATATATATATATATTATTATAATATATATATATATATATAATGTATGTATATACATATATATATATATATATATATATATATATAATATATATATATATATATAATATATATATTAATATATTATATAATATAAATATATATATATATAAAATATATATATAATATATATATAAATATATATTATATATATATATATATATATATAAATGTCCGGCCGAATATGTAAAACTGGTCAATTAGCAAGAACTCATTTAAAATTAAGTCCTTTCTAAAATTTTCTCTTATACGTTTAAGGAATATTTATTTCATTAATGTTAATGTAAAGAATTTTAATTTTGCTCCAAAAGAATCTTAGAAAACTTACCTAACCTATTATAACAAGAACAATTTATTTTAGCCTAGCCCAACTAAATATATTTAGATTTGTTTTACAATAATTTAATACTAAACAAACACAGTGAAATGTATTTTTTTCGTTAGGTTCAGAATGATTTGGGCGAAATTATTGCATACACAAATTTTCACATGTCCTATATGGCAAGATGAGCGATTGCTATTTAAGCCAAGATCGCAAGTTCTGCCTA